GGCTGCTCCCAGCAGAGCCAGCCGTTTTCATCGTGCGCAGGTCCTAACTTCCCGGCTCAGATGCGCCTCACCGGTCAGCGACCTGCAGGACGTGGCTCCTCTCCGTCTCCTCCTTGCTTCCCGCAGAGCCCTGCAACCGGCACAGAAGGTGGGGCAGGTGTGCAACAAATGTCGCTGGAGCGAATCAGTGACAGAAAGGAGGAACACAGGCATGAAAAGACCGCCACGCTCCGTCCCAATAAGGTCAGCGGCCCTTTGACAACTTGGTGCCTTGGTCTTCCTCAAAGGCGCCTTTTTTTTTTTTGAGTCGGAGTCTCACTCTGTCGCCCAGGCTGGAGTGCAGTGGCACGCTCGCTCACGGCCACCACAACCTTGCCCTACTGGGCTCAGGCGATCCTTCTGCCTCAGCCTTCCAAGCAGCAGGAACTATAGCATGCACCACCATGTCCAGCTAACTTTTTTGATTTATTGTAGAGATGAGGTCTTGCCATGTTGCGCAGGCTGGTCTCAAAGCCATGGGCTCAGGCAAAGTGCTGGGATTACAGGTGTGAACCACCACACCCGACTTGATGGTAACTTTCATTGTCTTATGAAAGGCCGCCCAGTTCCCTGGGCACTGGCTTCCCTCGCAGCGCTTCAGAGCCTCTGCAGTGGTGGTCTCATTCCATCACTCTGTCTGCCACCTGCCCATCCCACACTGGACCATAAGCTCTGACAGGGCAGAAGCCCTTTCCAGCTTGGCAAAGAAGGCAGCCATGGCCCACGTCAGTCCCGCGGCCAAGTGCTCCTGGGGCGCCTATGATCCCCCATGACTGCATCTCCCTCCCACCTTCCGGGGGATGGGACAAAATAAAAACACCTGGCCAGGTGCAGTGGGTCACACCAGTCATCTCAGCACTTTGGGAGACCAAGGTGGGAGGGTTGCTTGAGCCCAGGAGTTCAAGATCAGCCTGGGTGACACAGCAAGCCTTACCTTGTCTCTGCAAAAAAAATCCCCAAAATTAGCTGGGTGAGGTGGCACGGGCTTGTGGTCACAGGAACTTGGGAGGCTGAGGTGGGAGGACTGCTTCCACCCAGAAGGCTGAGGCTGCGGTGAGTCATGATGGTGCTACTGCACTCCAGCCCGGAGGCCCTAACACCTGGGGGCTGAATGGAAAAGGTGGCCTTTGAAATGGATAGAGACTGGCCTTGCACCTATCTCCCATGTGACCCTGACAGGAACCCAGACCTCTCGGCGGGCCAGTGCTCCAACACTGCTTCCATCAGGGTCACTGATACTAAGCCGGTCAGCCGGGCTCGGTGGCTCAGCCTGTAATCCCACGCCTTTGGGAGGCTGAGGTGAGTGGACTGCCTGAGCCCACAGGTTCGAGACCCGCCTGGGCAGCGATACCTCATCTCTACAATAAATCAAAAAATCAGCTGGGCATGGTAGCGCATTCCTGTAATTCCAGCTACTCGGAAGGATCGCCGGAGCCCAGCAGGTTGAGGCTGCGGTGGCCGGGAGCGGCCACTGCACTCCAGTCTGGGCGACAGAGTGAGCCTCCAACTCAAAAACAAACAAACAAACAAAGTCCAATGGTCAGGGCCAATCGCCCAGGGCTTTCCTTTCGGCTGCTGCTTTGCGTACTTCCCTGTGTGTGGTCTCAGCCACCTGTGCCAGGTCCTCATCTCTCCTCAGACACTCCCTCTCTCCTTGCAGGTTCCTGCCAAAGAGCCATCTCCCTGGACTGACACCCCATGCCCTCGGCTGGTCCTTACCCCCAAGCACGCCTCTACGTGGCCTCACTGTGTTGGACTCGTTCACGTGTCTCCCCCACACAGCAGGGCCCACGTCAGCACCCATGTTTGGTGTTTCCCGTCCGTAACTCTAGCAACAAGAACAACAGCGCCCAGCGCGTCGTGGCATTTAGTAACGTGTGATGAGTACCTGACTCAGACGCCGGTCCGCAATCACCGGAGCCTTTCACGATTCGGACCTCTGACCCTTCCTGCCTACTTCCTTCCTCTGATGAGTCTCCCGTTGCCGGCCTGCAACTCCCACGTTTGTACCTCCAGCCAACTCTCCCGGAAGTCTCGGCTGCTGGCCTAGCTGACCTCGCCCCCTGGACGTGCAACAGGCATCTCCAACCTGTCATACTCAGACGGCAACCTCCCGCGAGCCTGCATCCCAGTCCCCACGCCTACACCTCGGTAAATAGGAAGGCTGCACGTCCAGCTGTGCAGGCCAAAACCCTAGAATTCATCCTTTTACTCCCACACCCTCAATCCTTCCAGAAGCTTGTGCCGCTGGACCTCTGCACTTTTTGTTCTGCCTGAAATGGTCCTCTTTCAGCTACCTGCTTACCTCCCTTCTGGTCTCTGCCAAAAATTCACCTTACTAGAGCTTTCCTGAGCCTCGGGATATGCCAAAGAAAATCCCCACTGCCTCTCCTTAGCCTGCTTTAGTGGCCTCTAAACATACCTGTCTTCAGCCATGTTCCTCAAGAGCAGACTTCTGCCTGCTCTGTTTACTATCATTACCCTCAGTCTAGAACAGCGCCTGGCGTACAATAGGTGCCAAATAAATACTGGTTGCCCGACTCCACCTCTCTGGGCTCTCTTTCCTCCTTAACAGTGGGGATAAGGCTGCCCGTGCAGGATTGTTGTGAGGATGAACGCGGACAGCCTCTAACGGTGCCCAGCAAACACTCAACAAACATTCGCGGAAGGAGGAAGACGACCCGTCAGTCGGACAGAATGCCCGGAGAAGGCGGGCGACCTTTCTCTTCCCCCGTTCCTTGTATGGCCCCTCTGACTCCACAAAGGGTGAGAGGCCGGGTAGACAGACACCATTCTGCGGCGCCGAGGTTCGATGAACAGCCGCGCTCTCGACCTCTCTGGGGCACTGTCCCCTCCCAGGAAAAGAGGGATCGCAGCACGGAGAGATATTTGCATTTTCGTGAGTATGAAGCCTCCCGCAAAGACGGCTCTTTGTTTTCTCACGGTTTGCAAGCCCCTGAGCACTCGAGACAGGGGCGA